CTAACATTAACCTAATGCGTGGTACTAATACTAGATAGCTGTGCTATACATTATTAAGTAGTTTTTAATTAATAACTTGGGCTAATTGTTAATAATTATTATTAATTATTAATAATGCGAAGGTCCCATCAACAATTAATAATCATCGCTACAAGTAATGTAGGATAACAATTAAAGATAAATATTATGATAGAAATACCATCAAATATTCATTATTAGTTATATTTTAAGTTAGTTCAAATTTTATATACTGTACGAATCATAAATATATTTAAACTCAATAATTCATACTTATAACATTATCTTTTACAATTTTATTCAAAATAATTTTCTAAACTAAACGTACAAAGCTGCCTACATTATCATGTATAGTTACTATAAAATTTTAAATACATTTTTATAAACATTATTTTACATTAAAAAGAAAATTTTGAAATATCTGTTTTAATAAAAACAATGATTCTTTTAAACTTTTTTTTTTAAATAAATGTAATTATTTGATTGTGTAGCCCCTCTTACTACATAAATAGTGACTACTATTAGGTAATTTTTGAGTTTTTAATTTATGAGGGAGTTCGACAATTTGTGCAAGCATTCCAATTTGAATGTGCCATTCAATGTGACAATGGAAAACCCAAACACCAGGGTTATCTATGACAAAGCGTATAACTGACCAACCCCAAGCTGGAACTACAGTAGTGTCACGAATAGGAGGGTCAACAGTATTTAAAGAACCTTTGTCATAATCGGTTCCTACACCATCCCCCATGAGCCAGAAAGTATGACCGTGCTAATAATAGTACAATAAAATATGAGGATTATGTTTAAGTTGAAGATGGTTTTGAAAAATGCAAATACTTACCAAGTGGAATGGATGATTAGCCGAATTACTATCTATATAAATATATATATATATATTATAAGTAAGGTAATATTTTACAAAAAAAAAATCAAGAGATAGGTAGATATATGAATGACATACTCCACACGACGATTTCAGCAATACCCTTGTCATCATTCAATTCTCCTATATTTTGTGATCTTGGAAAATCTTTCACATCAGCTCCATCATCCATAATTTTCAAGGTTGTGGGGTTGTTATAATCTGGAATATAACTTGAATTGTTTATTAAAGCTTCAACAACTTTCATGTCGTTAGTACCAAATGATACGGTATATGAAACAGTTTCAGTAGCATCCTTAGGCGGACAGTCAATAAGAGGCTTTATTAATTTAGAATCAAGATTCCTGCATGGAGTAACATCATCGGTGAATGGTTCAGAATCAGGTCCTTTACCACCAGAACTGAAACCTTCATAAGAAAGAATGCCAGTAACATTATAATTGATTGCCGAGTCATGGTTAATAGTCATATTATCATTAGGGATACATTCTGGAGACAATGTAGCACGTATCCAATAGTCCTTAGCATCTTGATCGGCTTCAACGATTACAGAGTATCGTTGAGCTATATGAAGGGGAAGTCGATTAACATAGAAAGGTTTTACATAAGTGCCTTCAACTTCAATCACTTTCATTTTATGGCCATCGATCGAGAAAATGTAGAACGACTCGGCACTATTTTTTATAGGTAAATTTTGAATAAAGAATTTATAAGAAAAAATACTAAACTTTTTTAAGAGTAAATTTAGAATAAAAAAACTACCTTGTATTAATTATTCTGAATCTATATTTTTTTCCTTTCTGAACTTTATAAACAGCCAATTCGGAATCTTTTTTAGCATATTGCCCTTTTCCACTTATAAGACCAGAATCGGGTACAGGCTAATTACAAAAAAAAGAATAGTAATTAAAATATGATAAACGATGATAAATATAAGATAAAGTTAATATAAATTTGAAAATTGATAATACTAACATTTCTTCCTTGATAACCTGGAGCCAAAAACTGGGAAAACAATTCAGCAGATGTTTGATGATACCAATCAGTTAAGGTAACAACATAATCACAATCATAATCCTTCAAGTACGGATCCTCAGGATCATGAATGATCATAGTACCCAATAAGCCATCAATATATTGAGCCATGTAATGCGAATGCCTTTAAAAAATAATATATATTAGTTAATTTATTTTTACATGTTATTATAATTTGGGATTTTTATAGGTAATTAATGTTCATGAATAATTAATTTTATAGTAATTCATGGATAATCACCACCAATAAGTTCCGACTTGTCCATCTGTACTGAATTCATAAGTTAAGGAGGACTGCGGGGGAATGGTGCATTGAGAAACCCCAGGTACACCATCGAACCAAGAAGTTCCTCTTTGAAACATTCCATGCCAATGCATACTAGTTTCAACAGGAAGATTATTTTCAACAGTTATAGAGAAGATATCACCCTTATAAGCTTGAAGGATAGGCCCAGGATATTGATTATTGGCAAGGTAAACAGGACGGCCATAACCATCAGGGGTCCATTGAGTTTGGGATAATTTTAAAGTATATTTACGAACTGTGGGTTGATCAGTCTTTTCAGGAAGAGTTAAAGGGACAAACATATCATGATTATACAAATCGTCTCCACGTTTTTCTGAGACGGGCATTGCAGAAAAAAACTCCAAGTAGGAAAATAAAAGAATAATAAGTAGAAAAGAATTTTTAATCCTCCCCATTTTTTTCCTTTTTACGTTATTATTATTACTTTATTATTTATTACTTATTGCTTTTTTTTGTTTTTGAAAATTCCAAGATTTTCATCCAGCTTATTTATAATTGTTTCGTTAAATTCGAAGAACAACACGCATCCAACAAGAATCGCGTATTCAAATCCCATTTTTCGAAGCTATTTTTGATAAAATCATAGTCAATTGGTATATGCGCATTTTTAGCTTTAAAAATAAAATAAAAAATCGCGCGATTATTGCCGAAAGTTTTTTTTCTATTATATGTAATAAAGGTATATGATTAAAACTTTATTCATTTTTGAATAGGTTAGAAGTTAAACAGGTTAAAAAAGCTAAGGTTTCTGGGTGCATTTCATTTAATTCTATATCGAGAAAAATCATAGAATTTCACTAGTATATGCTTTTGATTATTTTATAGAATTGTTATCTTGAAATTTTAAAGTTAAAATTGGACTTTATATTTAGAGTTAGGATCCAAAATATTAGGGTTTTTTAGGATACTCCCATTTTTACTTAGTACTTCAACACTAATTACTAAAGCTATGCTCGAGAAATAATATATTTGTGAATTTCATTCTCTGTGAATATTAAAACTATCCTAAAAATAAATATACAGTCGGAATTTATGTTTCTTTTAGAAATCCTGAATCTCGCTAAAGCTTGACATGTGTTCGGTAGATAATCAAAACCATCAATGAAGTTCTAAAATAGTCAATTGTTAGACGCATGCATACCCCTTAATGAACATTGAGGAATTTCCAAGATGATCAGATGAGATAATTAATTTTAAATCAAATAATGGAGACTATTGTAATTATATTAAACTAAATGATCATAAGTAATTAATAACGAAAGTGGATAATTCTTTATTTTTTACATTAAAAAATATATATAATGTATTTAAATTTTAAAAGAAAAATTAACCTTATAAATTTACTTAATTTGTTTATTATAAAGCATTAATGCCGCATAATACGCATTATAATAATTCTAGTTTTGATCTTTCGCATTGTACAAGGAATTTGCAGTCTCTATAGGAAGTTAACGCCAATTTTATTACACAAGAAAATGACGCTACACTCAGGGAGAGGATACTACTTACAGTAAATAGGTATGCAAGTCATTTAATACCATTAATGTATATGTTATACCCCGGATGGGAATTTTGTCCCGATTCGAAATCGGAATAGTCGCAAAAATAAGTACAAAAATCCCATCTGGGTAGCCAGACTTGAATCGGGACGATTCCATTGAGGGGTACGGCATATATGTACAGTGCAAGAATTCCAGAAATTACAATTACGCCTTATAGAAGTAAAATACAACCAGACATGATTCCTTGATTTACGTTACATTGCAGATTATTACGCTAAGCAGGAATTTACGAACCACAAATTTCTATAGAGTTAATGCGATCAAAGTAACACGTTAAAGTTGAATATTTCTTAAATTGTCGACTTCAACTAAGTACTTATATGTGCTTTATTGATGTTAGCAATTTAGGAAATATTTGATTTCAATCATTATATTTTGCACCTATAATGATAGGTTGTTTTAGTTTCTATTGTTAAGATTCTTTATTGTACAAGGAATTGTAATTAATGCTTTCTAAAATTATTAGAATTATAAATAACTTGAGGACTTAAGAAAATCGGCTGAACTAATTTGTTTTAGTTCGTTTAAAAGTTTTATCGTTCTTTGCAATATAGTGCGACAAACAATGTTTTTGAATCTTATGAATTCTGCATACTACCAATGTTAAAATGACGATAATATACAGAATTGCAACAATGACTTTTTTGCCCTATGAATTCTGCACATTATCATTCTTTTTTTAACCGTATTATATTGCAAAGAGCGATAAAAATAGATTCTTATCTATTAAGATTCAGTATGACATTACCTATATTTGCACTGTGTGCTTCTATCCCGCTTACATTGCATTAAAAATTTGATCGAACATTAATATTCTACATATGAAACATTGATAACTATATGCAACGCCAACATTAAAGTATTAATTTTAATAATTCACTTTTACGTATTAACAACCTAATTCAGTCCGAAAATTTATGCAATTACAAGTGGGCTAAACACGTAATACACTTAAGTTAATTAAAATTATACGTACGTACCTACTTAAGTACTAATTTATATCAGATATGCACATACAGCATGTAGTAGTTTGTAGTATCATTGACAATAATATATCTAAAATTAGACCGGACATGCGAAAGTAAAGTCTGTAATTTACAGTTCGTAAAAAAAGAAGATTCTTAAATTTATTTTTTTCAATTACCATTCTAACACGAAAAAAAAATAATATAGAGTTATTGGATGCTGTGTACGCAGCCAGATAAAATGAATCATTTGTAAATAATTCTGTTATTGGCTGGTTCGCATCCAATAACTATATATTATTGACCTATTAAAAAGATCCACGAAAATGAGAAGGCTCTCGTTAAACTTGGACTTCCCAATAATACAAATCAGTAAGTCCAAATTTCGGTTACTGTATCCTGGATCAACCTGACATAGAATCCAATCGCATATGAAAGAAATCGATCATTAATTCTAATTAAAAATGTTGGAAACAGAGTTTCATATATTAATAAGTGACAATTCATTTTCTCCCTTATACAAATTTCAAAAGTAGTGATTTAAGCTGGCTATGGCAGTTATGGCTAAGCTAGCTAATATAATA